ATATATATACGTATATTGTTCATGAATATCTGCAATTAAAAATACTATTAACTCCACATGCATCCCTAATTTGGACAGCAGTCAGTTTTAAAGCAATACTGTTACCATGGATTTTTTTTTAGCTAGAACTAGCCTATAAAAGAAGAACATGTGCACTTACCTCTCTAAGGGGTGACAAGGGTGATTCAAGAGATACCAGTGCTCCTGCTACCTGACAATGTAGTGTGTCGGATAGTGTGTGCCCTACCAAGCTCTGTGGTTGCTCACGCTGGCTTCAATGTCATCATGGTTTTCTGTAGTGACATAGGTGCAAACAGGTGAAACCACAACTTCCAGTGGGTAGTCCAATATCTGACAGACCTGGAAGTGTCAGATGGCACTATCTCGCCGACGCCGATATCTCACAGTGTTTGTTTAAAAGTTTGTGTAACATACTGTCGGGTACATTCTGCTTACACTTAAAACACTTCTGAGGTACATCATAGGTGTTTCTGACCTGCAGTTCACCTTCTTTGCACTTGCATTCCTATTGATTTTCATAGGGAGAAAAGCAGTTCTGACTTGAATAAATGCCCATGTACACAATCCCGAAGGCTGGTTTCTTCCCCCACTCTTTCATATTCAACAATCATAATTAAGTCTTGTACTGCATAACCGTTAGTGATTAAGGGCATACATAATGCATTAAAGAGTAATCACAGTTTCATATACCCATTTTTTTTTTTTTTTTTAATAACATTGTATGTCAGTGTTTTGTGCAGTTCAAATGTTTTCTGTCCTTTCTGTCTCCAGACCAATTGGCCACGATATTAAAAGAGGCGAGTGTGTATTGGCAAAGGGAACGCACATGGGACCTTCAGAAATTGGTCTACTGGCAACTGTTGGTGTTACAGAAGTTGAAGTACACAAGTTCCCAGTAGTTGCAGTTATGTCAACAGGAAATGAGGTTTGTGCAGCTAGGAACTTGTGGCACTTTTGTTTTTATTAAATTATAGTTCCACAAAGGCAGTTCTTTATAAACAACCAAATGTAGTCTCTCAGATCTTATTGAACTTTATCAGTTTAAAGATTTCTTAGGGCACAAATAAAGTGGTCCCAGAGAAAGGGTGGCCATACATATGATAAAAACACAAAACACTCCTTAAAGTGACACTAAACTCAGAATTTAAATTTTAAAAATGCATTCAAGTACCCTAACTATTAACACAAATGTAGCTTATTTGTGTAACACTAAGCTGTAGATCCTCAAATCATCTCTGAATTCATACTGACACCATCCTTCCTTCTAGAGAGTGGCTGCTTTGGTATCCCATGGTCCCTGTGTGTGTTTTAAAATAGCCACTGCTCCAAGCTCACTTCTATGATGGACTGCAATCTCACATTTAGTTTACTAAATTGTATTGAGATTGTAGTCCATCATGGGAACAAGCTTGGGGTGATATTTCCTAAATGGTACACAGGCAGCAAAAAACTTGTTTTTGGTTTTAGCCCATACCTGCACTATCCAAAACAAACAAAAAATGTTTTGGCTATACATACACTTTAAAGTGTATCGTAAATCATACTTGGAGGCATGCAACATTTTTACTGCAAGCATTAGATGTTCTTCAGTTGCCTTTTTTTGTAAACGTAAAGCATATCTAAACACAAAAATATAGTATATTGTAGATTACCAGTCTTTAGATACAGTGGTTGCATTATTTTCAACTGGTGATTTTGCAAATAAACTTATTGTCCCTTCTTGTCTACGCTCACGTATGTCACACAGGCTGGACTACAAACATGTCTGCCTTTTTTCATCTCTATTACATGTTGAATTGATGGGATTAGTAGTTTACACAAGAAAGATAACAATATTTGTGCTTTCTTCTCGGCTCAGAGTGACAAGGACACTGCATTTCTGGCAAGATCAACAGATATTTTCTGTACTTGCTGAAAGTGTTCTTAGCCTGAAAACAGAACTAATGCAGCCACCACATGAAAAACTGGTAAAGCTGCAAAATTGTTTTTAGGTTACATGTGCTTTAATTTCATTTACTGTATATTCTCATTATGTGCCAGCTGTAAGGGTAGTGCCTGTATAATGTTTGCATTTTGTTTTACTTTTATTTTTTATCCTTAGCTATACAATAATGGTTTACCTATCCATAGAGAAGAGTCACTAGACTAATGGCAGCTCTGGTAACATGCAATCTATCCCGCCTTTTTCTTGCAGGCTCTTGCTGTGGGACTGTGAATAATAGTGGAAAACTGGGAAATTATTTTAAAATACTAGCATTAATGCAATGCATCTCTTCACTTAACTGTCATCATTTTTGAGGAAAGTTTACATTTACATTGATGATTATAGAAATGGAAGAGCTTTCTAAGCAAATTATCATCATTGCTATGCACATAGAACCATGTTTGCCATCTATATCTGCATTCTTTTGCAGCTTTTAAATCCCGAAGATGATCTTATGCCAGGGAAAATACGTGATAGCAATCGCTCAACTCTTCTTGCAACAATTCAGGAACATGGCTATCCTACCATCAATTTGGGTATTGTAGGAGATAAGTAAGTATCATGTTTTAAATGCATTTATAATTTCAGGAACTAAAGGCCATTGTTTCTACATTCACGCTCAGTGCTGCAGTTATGATTTATTATATAAAAGTAATATTAGTTATGCTACCCTTCACTCATCACTGATATTAAGCATGGCCAGCTCCTTAACATAATTGTTTTCCAACAACAAAAAAAGCAGAACTCCGGGTAAATATATATTAAGCTGTGCAGTGGGGCTATCCCTGCACTGCAAGGGTTAACTCCTCATTTGTGTTCAGGGCTGAAAATAAAAAAAGTTATACTTACCCAAACCTCAGAGCCAGCTTGCTGTTAGACCGGAAACTGGAGCCTCTCTCCCCCTCGGCTGCAGCGGTCTAAGGATCCTCAAGTCATCCCATCCAGTACAGTGTATAGGGTGTGAGGACGCAGAGGGACATTCCATTGCTACAGCAAAGGAGGAGAGAGGCTGGAGGGAGTGCTGCCAGCTCTGAGGATCGGATGAGTATAACTTTTTTATTTTTAGGCCCTAGACACAAACCAGCAGTTAACCCTTGCAGTGGGGCTCCCCCGCACTGCAAGGGTTAATAATATTTTTGCCCGGAGTTCTACTTTTAAGAAGTATGGCTTGGTCAAGGACGCCACCCTGCCAGTAATTGGATAATGAAGGACTGAAAACTCAAAGAAGAGGTTATCCCTGTGCTGTCCCCTCCTGCAAGCAAGCTGCTTGTTAGATTGACAGAAATATGCAATGCAGTACAGCCTTACTGGGTGACTGTACTGCCAAACCCTTTTCCACTCTGTGGCTTGGACATAAAATGTGTAGGAAATACTGGAGGCTGATATAAACACATAATAAGATACTTTTAAAACAAAAATTTAATGAATGCATAACTGGATCAGGATTGATTTTTTTTTTTTTATATCTGCGTATAGTTTTTTTTGTTCTCACATGTCACCTAATTTTAAATATTTGTAGTAGTAGATCAATATCAATATTTAAAAAATTCCCCTTTTCAAAAGGTTTTTTTTTTACGTAGTAAGTCAAGGGTAGTGAATTAGAATTCTAGTAGGTCTGGAAAGTAAAATCTTCATCAAACACAGGTCCGAATGGCAGTCTGGACAGAATGGTCACTCAGTCCGTGTCCGTACTGAAGTCCACCATTTAGGCTGCATTCACACCAGCAGCTGTACTACAGCGCACAGCTGCTGGTGTGTGTTCACAGGCACTGGGCCAATCGTGGCACATCACCCCTATACATACATGTGCATGACCTACACGCCTGTATTCATAGATGGTGGGGGTCGCAGGGTTGTTTTTAAATTTTATTTTTATTTATTTTTTCTTTTTATCACCATTTTTGAATTTTTGTATTTAGTATTTTTCACTTTTTTTATCACTTTTTTTATTTATTTATTTTTTCACAGGCTAACAAGCCTGTGTGACAGCATTTGGAGGTGATAGGTTCTTTTTATGGAGACATCCAGGGCCTATTAGACTTCTGAAGTCTCCCCTCCCCTCTAATACAGGATATCAAGCACAGGATTGGGTCTCGATTGCCTGTGTAACTGGCACTTCAGCCAGCTTGTGACAGCTCTGACGCAGGGAGCATTGAGAGCACATTGCTCCCTCCTTCATTCAGCACAGAACAGATCAGGGAATGGACGTTCCTCGGTCTGCTCCCGCTCTCCATCCTGACACCCTCTGCCGTGGTCCCATGCCAATATCGCAGGCTAGTACAAGTGATCTGAATGGCTGTACAGCCACCCAGATCACTTGTAGTTGACAAGCTGGCCCTGCGTGATCTCACTGACTGCTAGGACCCCAGCAGAGGTGGGCCTGCTCTTGGTTATGGAAGTGGATGCACTGGCCTCAGAGGCTATTAAAGGGGTTCTAAACCGTTCGGTTTTTTTTGCTTATCTCTACTGCTAGCATGCAGTAGATATAGGCAAGAAATGTAAAAAAAAACCGCTTAAAATCATTTTAAACTTACCTCGTTATCGCCGCTCGTTCCCGCGCCAAGAATCGGGAACTGCTCATACGGCCGCAAAGGATCTTGGGGCGGGCGCATGCGCAGTTCCGATTCTCGGCCGGGAGACGAGCAGGGACGCAAGGTAAGTGTAGGGACGCGTGCACCCACCTGCAGACACCGCTGGATCGGAGAGACAGAGCAGTCAGCGCTGGATCGGAGTGACGTCACAGCGCTGGAGGGACAGATGAAAACATGGGGAAAGAAGAGGAAGATCGGAAAAGAGACATCATTCAAGGTAAGTGCTAACATTTACATTGGGGTCAGGGTTGTTTTTAAATTTTATTTTTATTTATTTTTTCTTTTTATCACCATTTTTGAATTTTTGTATTTAGTATTTTTCACTTTTTTTATCACTTTTTTTATTTATTTATTTTTTCACAGGCTAACAAGCCTGTGTGACAGCATTTGGAGGTGATAGGTTCTTTTTATGGAGACATCCAGGGCCTATTAGACTTCTGAAGTCTCCCCTCCCCTCTAATACAGGATATCAAGCACAGGATTGGGTCTCGATTGCCTGTGTAACTGGCACTTCAGCCAGCTTGTGACAGCTCTGACGCAGGGAGCATTGAGAGCACATTGCTCCCTCCTTCATTCAGCACAGAACAGATCAGGGAATGGACGTTCCTCGGTCTGCTCCCGCTCTCCATCCTGACACCCTCTGCCGTGGTCCCATGCCAATATCGCAGGCTAGTACAAGTGATCTGAATGGCTGTACAGCCACCCAGATCACTTGTAGTTGACAAGCTGGCCCTGCGTGATCTCACTGACTGCTAGGACCCCAGCAGAGGTGGGCCTGCTCTTGGTTATGGAAGTGGATGCACTGGCCTCAGAGGCTATTAAAGGGGTTCTAAACCGTTCGGTTTTTTTTGCTTATCTCTACTGCTAGCATGCAGTAGATATAGGCAAGAAATGTAAAAAAAAACCGCTTAAAATCATTTTAAACTTACCTCGTTATCGCCGCTCGTTCCCGCGCCAAGAATCGGGAACTGCTCATACGGCCGCAAAGGATCTTGGGGCGGGCGCATGCGCAGTTCCGATTCTCGGCCGGGAGACGAGCAGGGACGCAAGGTAAGTGTAGGGACGCGTGCACCCACCTGCAGACACCGCTGGATCGGAGAGACAGAGCAGTCAGCGCTGGATCGGAGTGACGTCACAGCGCTGGAGGGACAGATGAAAACATGGGGAAAGAAGAGGAAGATCGGAAAAGAGACATCATTCAAGGTAAGTGCTAACATTTACATTGGGGGGAGGGAAACATTTTTTTGCCTTTAATGTCACTTTAAGGCTATTTTAGCTGCTCTCCGGACAGCTCCTCTACCACCCCTTCCCTCATCTCCCCCAAAGGATTGGCCTAAGCTTATCTACTGTGTTCATTTGTTGTCTTTTAAGCCATAAATTAGTACGTTTTATATATGTATCACCCATATTAAAACTGAACTTTAGGCAGATATAAAATACAAATTTAGCTGTGTAATCATTAATACATCATTAAATGTATTTTATTAATGCAAACAGAGTAAGTACCTGAATTTGCAATGTATCCGCTTCTTACAATCCCTCTATAGCAGGGCTGGAGTGTGAGAGGAAAACACAATACATGGAGCCAATCTTTTAATGTGCTGACAAGAATCATACTGATAGGAGGAGGAAGCAGAGTGAGAGAAAGAGGAACTGATCACTGTGCTGGATCTCCTTTCACTGGCCAGTCTGGGGCAGGTCCAGGAAGACCTGGGCTCAGAGAAAGTGGGTTGAATGATGCTGGCCAATCAGGCTGAGGATTACTAGTAGCAGAAAAAAAGTAATGTGGAGAAATCTCTGGATTTAAAGTGAATATTGTAGCAAAGGCTAGTTTTGTTATTTTATCTTTTAATGGGCTATTGTTTGGCTGAAGTTCTGCTTTAAACAGTACTAGTAATTTATTTGTCTACAGCAAATTTAAATTAACCTAATGTGTGATTTATACCATAATTTGAGGCAAAGCTGTCATTTTATTTTTGGTTGAATCTCTTTACAGCCCAGATGACTTATTAAATGCCTTAAATGAAGGTATCAGCCGTGCTGATGTTATCATCACATCAGGTGGTGTGTCCATGGGAGAGAAGGTACAACTATAAGGCTTAGTGAAAGAAGTGCAAATTTTTATAAGGGATTATTATTTTATGATACAAACAGCAGTGTCTGTGCGTAAAGTGCAGTAACCCATAGCATCCAAATGTGTATTAGTTTAGTCAAATAAAAGTAGAAATGGCTTGGATGCCATGGGTACTGCACTTTGCACATAATCATAGCATGTGGTAAAATGTTGTATAAAAAATCTGGTTTATTTGAAGTTAAACCTTAAAAATGCATTCAAGTACCTTATTAACAATGATGTAGCTTATTTGTGCATCACTCAGCTGTAGATCCTCAAATCACCTCTGAATTCATGCTGACACTGTCCTTCCTTCTGGAGGGTGGCTACCTTTGTTCCGCGTGGTCTCTGTGTGTAAAGTAGCCACCACTTCAAGATCACTCCTGTGATGGACTACAATCTCATTTGGTTTACTAATTTGTATTAAGATTGTAATTCATCACAGGAGCAAGCTTGGAGTGGCGGCTACTTTAAAACACACCCAGGGACCATGGAGAACAAAAGTAGCCACCTTCCAGAAGGAAGGACAGTGTCAGCATGAATTCAGAGCTCTTTTGAGGATCTAAGTGATACACAAATAATGTACATTTTTGTTAATAGTTAAGGTACTTGAATGCATTTTTAAGGTTTAGCTCCTGAGTTTTATGTCACTTTAATGTTCTCACAATGAGGCTGATTTATTATACGTAAACCAAACCAGTTAATAACAGGTTATGAATGCCAAAATACAGTTGCTTAAGAAAACACCTCCACTTAAGAAATCCGTGACTCAATACTTATATACATCCCAGTGACTCAATGAGTGTGTCATGTAGCAGTCATATATTTGAATTAGGGATGCGCCGATACCGAGTATTTGGGTGAGTATGTTCCGATACCTTCCCCAATACCGGAACTTCCGGTCAGAGGCAATGCCACGACGGAACATGGAGCCAGTTTCCCGGCCAATCAGGAAGCCGGGCAGCAAGTAATGACTCGTCACCTTGTCTCCCTTTACTACCTGGAACTCTGGCACATGTGACTAGGACATGTGACCATGCACATCATCTCAAGGGAGAAAATTGCCATACCCTAAGATCTCATAAGATTGCACATGAGATTTCCCAGCAATGCACTGCTGATGTATCCTTCCCTGAATGCAGTGTTTGGGCACAATTACATCATGTGTGCCAAAGTGGACCAGGAAGTGAAAAAAAAATAAGTTAAATAAAAATATGTTTGTTTAGCTAATGAATGTAAGATGATTTAATATCAGCAGGCAGAGCTGTGTGATGATGTGATTTTTAGTCAAAGGGGGTAAAGGTCCAGTTTAACTGAGATTAAACATAAATTGGCACCTTAAACCATATCTAAACCCAAGAACAAAATTGTAATTTATTGCAGCTTACCAGTTCTTTCTTTTTTGTTTTTTCTTTATTTTCACCTGGTGAGCATGCCAGTAACACACGTCCTGTCTTAGGGTGACAGCTGTCACTCATCGCAGCTTTGTCACCCAAGAACAGAAGAACAGTAACCTCCCCCTCTCCTCTTCTACATGAAATAGAAAGGGCAGGTTCTGTAGTCTCAGAGATAGCTGGGATGTAATTGATAAGAGTGCAGCAAACAAGATTTCTGGAAGGATCAACAAGTATTTGTTTTTTGCACCTATTGGCCTGCTATAACAAAACATTTTCAATAATATATTCAGCAGACCAAATAAGAGTAGTTCAATGAAAAGGTTTACTTACCCCTTAAAATCTGTCAAGCCCAATAATTATCTTTAGATTTGGATAGAGTGGGGAAAGATTAGAACTCCCGTCTTATTTTTACTGCTATTTAAGGGCTTCTTCACACCACTTCCAGTGTGTTCCAGCACGATTAGCTGCTGGGATGCACTGGATAGCATCCTGGCTGGCTCCTTGTGTTCTGGGGCAGGAGGGTGCGTGGCGGTGCATTCAAATCAATTACACTAATTACAGTGCATTCCAGCTCGCTCAGCTGCTGGAACGCAATGTTTTGTATACTAAATTCCCGTCTGTGTTCTGGGGTGGGAGGGGGCGTGACTGTGCATTCAAGTCAAATTCACCCCCTCCCACAGTGTGATCGCCTGTACCAGAACACATGGCACATCAATGCTTGCGTTCTGGTCCAGCGAGGTCGCCAAAAATAGTGCCTGCAGCCTTTTTTGCGATCGCACTTGACTGGCATGCAGGTATTAATAGGTCACGGGTTTTGGTGCGGGTGATCGCACTGCTGTTGGGGGTGGTGGTGGCTACAGTGCCATTGACTTGAATGCATGGCCACGCCTCCTCCCACCCCAGAACACGGGGGAAGTTTAGTATGCGAAACAGTAATTGGTGTGAACAAGCCCTCAGACTCCATTAGAAAGATTTAACCTCGCTTCCTATCCTGCTGACAGCTCTTTCACCAGACAGGAAGTAAAGGAAAATCTGCACCAGGGACACATAAAGAAATTAAAACCAAACCGATTCTAACCCTTCCCCACACTATCCAAATCTAGAAAAAAAAAGTGTTTGCCGTGGCATACACTTAAATACCTGTTAAATTTTGTTATTTTGTCCAGACTGCTGTATAATTACAGAGTTAGAGTTCTATGGCAAACTACAAATGTTTTTGGTATTTGAACAGAAAAGAAAAATGTTATAATTTAATATTGTCTGTTAGATCTGGTGCTAAGCATTGCCATAAGTGTGCCAATTATTATGGCAGGTTAGGCACTTTTTTTACTCTATTTTTGGGACAGATGTTAGATTGCTGCAATGAAAGATGTAGTTGTATGTGTACTGTATCTGTCATTAAATAGTCATAATGAAACGACTGTTTTTGGAAGTCAGCGTAGCCTCCTAATGTCTACATCTGGATAATCAGTACCATTAGGGCAATGTTGGTTTCTTAAGGGAACCTCTAATAGGCTTTCATTGCTAACCTCCTTCTCTAAATGCTAATTGCTTGGATGTTTCTGGCTTTAATACATTCTGTATCACTGACCCAAAACAAGCGCGCAACATGTGAAATCAAAACTCTTGATCTGCTTTTTTTGGATGGTCTGGCTCTCTGCATTCCAGCACCCATTACTGAAATAAAGACAAGTGAAGTCCCGGCCTTAAACAGAAACCACCCCTCCCACCTGTCCTTATTTTTTTCTATGTTACTCTTTTTATTCAAAAAAGCTTTATTGTAAAGCCCCGGCCTTGTTGGGGTGAGTGAGCGGCGTGCAAGCTTGTGGTCAGGTAAATAACCCCATGGTAAAAAAATAAACACTGCCACTGACCTCCATTGGGGGGATATGAAATAACACTGCATCTGACCACCAGTGGGGAAACGAGGATTAACAGCACTGCCACTGTCACCAATGCTGGTGGTTATTATTGCAGTCACTGACACCAAGTTGGTGTCTATTACTGTGGTCTCTGAGACAAAAGCTGGAGGTAGGTAGCAGATGGAGCAGGCCCTCAAATAGTGCTATGCAGCACTAGATTCTCTCTGTTTGGTGTCTTGCATTAGTGTTACCTCAGTAACTATGAGGAGGGTATTTATAGCTCAAATGCAGATTGATCAATTTGGCATTTAGGAAGGCCCTCACTGAGCTTCAAACCAATAGTGACAGACTTTTCCACAGGACAAAAGAGCACTCATCTCCCCCAAGCTTGCAAAGTTGAGAACCTTCACAAGCAGACATTTAATTTACAAGGACCCTCTTCTAAGGCCATTAATGCCACCAAAACAGCCACCTTAGCTGGCTCCTTACAAGGATTGCAAGCCAAAAATTCCATGTTCTGTGGACAAGTCCAACTCAGCATTAATTTTTGCTCCATCTGTGGATCTCAAGGTGGAGGAGAAAGATGTCTTTTAGTCTTTGCAGACCTTAGGCTTTGGCACATCTTAGATGTTTACGTATGGGAGGTAGTTGCCACACGCTAAAAAATAGAGTTCCATTCTAAACCTCAGGAAAGATTATTTGCTTTGTTACTTCCTCTTTTCACATTCTTCAGATCCATTTAAGGGTTTCTACTTGAACCTGTTCTCTGTCCACAAGAAGGGTAGAATTTGTTCAGTCTTCAACCTAAAGACCCTAAATGCTGAATATGAGTTTCAAGACGTTCTGTATAGAGATGGCTTACTGAGTGGTTGCCTCCCTCTACCAGGGTGACTTTCTGGCCTTCTTTCCAGACTGACTTCAGCTCTCAGGGTGTTAACGAAGGTGATAGCTCTGATTCTACCCCTTCTGTGTCTAAGGAACATTCTCATAATCTTCTACCTGTACAACCTCTTTGGCCCTTTGGTTGGAATCTATTTGTCGGATCCTGCACACTGGAGCAATGAGTGTGTTCGTAAACACAGGATTACCACCGCATAGATTCTTCCTGCACTAGTGCATGAGAATTTTGAGTTTATTGGTTACCTCCTTCAAGGCGGTCCTCTTGGTTGAGTTCCATACAAGCATTTTGCAGGGAGAGAGATTTTGTACAAATGGGCTAAGTCTATTTTTTCAGCACAGAGAAACCCACCACCAATCACAGATGATGGCTTCTGTCTTGTGTGGCACAGCATTCTGATTCCAAAAATGGGCAAATATTTACTTCCCTTCCTCCCTCTCAAGTCCTCACAACAGACGTGGGCCTCTCTAGTTTTGTCAGAATTCTGGGCATCCTGTTGGTGCAGGGGCACTGGTCCCTAAAGAAGTCCAATCTCTCCATCAACCTGTTACGCCTTGCCTGATTTATTGGACCACCTCTCTGGATGGCCATCCAGTGCAATCTAAGTCAGACAGTGCCACTGTGGTGGCATATGTGGACCACTAAGGGGACACAAAACACCTTTTCATTGAGGATGAACATATTCACAGATTAGTAAAATAGCAATAGATTTTTCTGGCAAGCATATTTAATAAATTGTCAGCATCTCATCCCAGACAATGGTATTTACAGCACAAGGAGTTTTACTGAATTGGTCCAATCCTGCTTCTCACTCTCTGTGACAGCATGGCTGTTTAATCCCAGGTGATGAGAGACGGAGGCTTGTCCATGGCTGTTGTCCCCACCATAATCGGGGTCCGCAAGTTCACTTTTTGCATGGTTTTCCACCACACCTGAAAGACTTACATATTGTGGTGCAAGTCCCTTGGCAAAACTTTAATTTCTATTTTGTTGTCTGTTCTTGCAGTAAAGCTCAAGGAAACTGACTCAGTAGCATTTAAAGTACTTTACTAGGTGAAAATGCTGCATGTACAAACTTAGTTACAGGAAAAACAAAATAAAACATACATACAGGCTGCTACAAACAAACATACATATACATGCACTCACTACACTATCCTTTCTAGTACATGTAATGGTTTCTAAGAGCGGAAACACTAATAGTACTTAGCTTCCAGCTGCATATTCCGTAAAGACTTGGCTTCTGGTTGCCGTCTCTGGTGTCTAGGTTCTTTGTTTCAGAGTTCCATGGTGAGTACTCTCTTGGTCAAGTGATGTCCTCTCTTGCTCAAAGTTCCATTCTGAAGTCCTCAATTCACCTTTGGGCTGCTGGCTTTTAAGAGAAATTGGCAGCCCACCTGTGGCAATTGCCCCCTCATGACTTTGTATGAGTCCCTATGCAACCTGTATTTCACTTTTTACAGTTCTAGGTGGCAGCGTTGTATCATGAATTGCCATCAGTAGTCAATGGTGAATAAGCCTTGACCAGCCTAGGCGTGCCTGTTTACACAAGGTTTCCGTTTAACACCATCCCATTGTGATACGAATAATGTGAAAACAAAACAAGGCAGCCATACCATTATCAAAAACCAGTTTGGTCTGTTTAGAAGGCACCCTCCATTGTGAGAAACCAGCTCTCTGTCAACAGTTGAGCAGACACAGGTTGCATATGCTGTTTTACCAACGGAAGTTTGTAAGTGCAATCATTTTTTAACTTTTAAAATAAAGGATCTTGCATCTGCACTTAAATCCTGTTTTTTCTTCTATGGTCGGTCCCCTCCTCGTTTTCCTGGCTGATCTCTCCGGAGGGTTCTCCATCCATAACTGGAGGCTGTCCAAACACTGCCGATGAGAGGAAGTGCAGCCTGACGGCAGGAGAGGGCAGAGAGACTATTATAGAAGAATTTTTCCCTCTGCGGACTCATCAATAGAACTATAAGTAAAAGACACTTGACTTCCAATGCTGCTCGGAGGAAAATAGTATCTTGCTGTTCATAATCCCCGTTCATACACCTCTATATACACTATATTTTATTCACCTTTTATATCAGTAGATGTGTTTTTATAAGTATTTTGTGCATTTTGGCTTGTAGCCTTTGACTGGCCATACAAATAGTTTTTATTCAATTTTTTCATATTTTTATTTTTTTATTTTTGATTGCCAGATGGAATAATTCATTCGTTTACACAATTTTTTAACCAGATTTTATCTATTTATTCACAATATAACTTGTTTCCACACGACAATATTTTATTTATTTACATATGCTACACATATCTTGCATTGTTAACTTAATATTTAATAATATTTAATATTTATTCACGAACACATTTACCTTTTTCGACTTGTATTTTCAGTATACAGCCGCAATTAGGATTTGATCACTGGCACTGTATTTAGTTTGTGATATCTTCACAATTTCCACACAATTTAAAGACCAATTAAAAGGTGTATCACACACAACCAAGCGCAGCACACCGGCTTACAGTTGAGCAGACCCTCTGTCTCCTTTGCAAATTTCCTGTGTCTGCTGAAATATCCATTAGCAGATATATATAAAAATATATCAATGTCACTGTGTAATCTCCAATTCGGAGAACATATTTTGATAGTGTCCAGCACCGGCTGATGGCACAGGTGTGCACAGCCTTTTAAAATAAAGGTGTTGGGAAGTGTTCAGGGCTCCACCTGAGAGACAGGGAAACTCCACCCAGGAGTCAGAGTGGAGTCCAGTGCAGCAGGGTGCTACGTGTTGATAAAACCAAGTGTGCAGGTTAGCACACTTGGACTGAGAATGAGACTGTCTGGAGGAACAGACAGTGCCCTGAGGTCTGAGGCTAGAGCAGCGGTGCTGCAAATGCAAACCCAGGAGGCTGGATGTGCATGTGTTGCCAAGCAATGCTAAAGAACCCCTGCAAGGGTAATTGCATTGTTCTTGTGAACTTTCATTTAATAAAACTGGGCAGGGAAGCCCTTAAATGAAGATTTCCGCGGTGGATGCGTCCTTAATGCGCTACTGTTTAGAGCTAATTCTCACAATATATACATACATACACACATACATGCGCAACACATTTTTCAACCCTTGTTCCTTTTATTTTAATACACCAGCGCTTGGCACTGAGCTACATCAAAGGATTGATTTCAGCTTTGACTGTTCTTTCCCAATGGTCTCATGTTGTGTTCTTTTCTACCCTAACAAATGCATTGTTATTTGTCCGTCTGTGGTCTATCCAAACAGGATTCCCCC